TCTAGTTGTGTGGCCCTAACACTCCGTTGTAGATAGGCTACTAGAGCTAAAACCGAATTATTAATGTTTTTTATTTACATGTAACATTTTAACTGTGAAAGTTATTCTTCCAGTAAAAAGACATGTAAATATACGTCCCGACCCATTTTAAGTCCATTATGAAACTGATCACTATGGTAACGGGGTAGCACATGGTCATGCAAACTTACGTGAAGCCGACGTCAGGCRAAGGGCAGACCATCTCATTTCACAGCAGGTTTGAGCAGCCTACCCGGCCCAGGGARGATGTGGCCCACGTGGCCCATGAACTGAGACACAGYCTTAACTTTTTGGTACTTTTACCTGTTAGCAAMTGTTGTTGCTACATTTACCTGTTAGTTAGCATTTWGCTATTTTTGGCTTTTRGCAAGTATTCTGATGAAGAAATAAAAGTAACATTAGTATTTTCTAACCTTTGCTTTCGGTGTATAAGCTAAGCTAGCTTACACACTGAAAGCTAGTGTATAAACTAGTGTATAGTGTAGCTTATAATAAAATATAATTAAATCTTCACTATGAAGATGAGATATTGAGATAAAAATCTTTTAGGATTACAAGAACAACAGAAACCAGGAGGCTTCAGGAGGTTATTGTGCTTCACAGAGTGAACACRTCTTTCCAGGAACAGAAACTGTGAAGTTGTTTTTACATAAACAGGTATAGAAGAAGGCCAGCTTTGTAAAYGCCTCCTCCCGCTCAGGACTACAGAAGTCTGGTTTGTTGGTTCAGACACACCTGAACGGAACAATAAAGTAACGACAGCAAACATCACGAGCCAATCCATGTGACGATAAAGGCAGTAAAAGAAGCGGTACTGTACCTTTGGATCTTCCTTATGCTGCAGCGTTAAAACAGAGACAAGCAGAGTGAGGACAGASAGTCTGACTTTGTTAACTTCATCAAAGCAGATGTGAAACTTTGAGGAGGAAYGATGGAGGAGCAGCGGGACGGGTCTAACTGGAGGCTCAAAGACGAGATGACAGTCACGCTGAATGAAATGAGGGAGAGATGAGAGCGCTCCACCAAGTGTTTTAATCGCTGCTCCAGTTTGCTTTAATTAGGTCAGCGTTTCCCTGAAGGTTGCAACTGAAATCCTTCAAAATAAAAAGTTTCCTGCAGCTGRTGTTACTCTGGTTTTAAGCGTCGGCAACTTATTGCATACTGTATATTCCACACTTAAGAATGAATTAACGCCAGAGACTTAAACCAGAATCACCTAATCGATATTCAGTATTTAATCACGTTTCTTCAGAAGCTTCATTCTGGCTCTGATGAGTGTTTTTTTCRCTGAAAAGCAGAGCTCCATTGAYCAAACCCACTCAGTCCAGGTTTAATTAGCGGCCCGTGGTCTCGAAGCTGCAGAGCTCAGCCCCTMACCGGGCCTGATAAGACCTCTGCTGTACGAAGGCATCAAAGAAAGCTGGTTTTCTATTAATCCTTCTCCACAGATGGAGGATCGTGGGATTTCTTATTTCACAGACTAAATGTCAGATCCCTCACCGGCTCTTTTTCTCTCAGTTTCAGTCGCATCGCTGGGAGGAAAACACGAGGGCAGGTGACACGATGCTTTCKGTCACATGAAACCTGTCAGCTCCTAGTCTCACTTCGTGTTGTTAGAGGAAATCATCTGGAAATCTTAAACTTGGGTTAAATAACTGCTTGCACTAATGGTTTTGTTGTCTGTTTCCAAAATGTTTTGTTTTTTTGTCGCTGGACAAATTTTACTAAAACTTAAATTTGATATTCACATAGAACATATTCAAAATGGCTGCCTCAGCCAATCAACCCATAAAAAACACAAAATTTCCTATAAATCAGTCAGTCTTACATGTCATGAACCTAATGTTTAGTTTTAACCCTAATCTAATGCGCCCAAGTCTGCTGGACATCCTGGATATTATGGACAATGGTAAGCACCCTCTGCACACTGTTATCAGCAACCAGAGGAGCCAGTTCAGTGAACGACTGCTTCCTCCAAAATTTTAATTTAATTTAACCTTTATTTAACCAGGTAGATCTCATTGAGATTAAAAATCTCTTTTTCAAGAGAGACCTGGCCAAAAACAGCAGCAGCACACAGACAATGCAAAATTCAAAACTACAGATATTAAACTACATTAAAATACTTCACGATAAATAAAAGAAAAACAAAAAACACTCATAAAAGGTAAGATAGAACTAAAATAGAGTATGAAATCAGTTAAAACATTTACAAACAAATGTCT